CACAAGTACTCCTGTTCTTCTTTTTGCGGATACAGACTAACACGGCTGCTACTCTGAAACCAGAGATGACTGTGTAAGCTAACTTTCATTTCTAGCTCTGTTTCTCTCAAACTCACTGTGATAGTCACTGGGGGTGTGCACAGGATCGGCATTTAGATGAATATCAGAGGGTCTGACGTTCTGATTTGCTCAGATTTGGAAACAGCCTTTTTATTAAAATGGCATGAAATCCATAACAACAGTGAGGAAAGCAGATAACAGACCTATGTGGTACATTAAGCTTTGTTGATGTAACCCTGAGAAGAAGGAAATGCAAATTTCCATTTATTTTAGTCCACAAATGTGTATAATCCAGAAAAAAAAGTCACAATTCGAAGCAGAAAGGAAATAAAATGAGCTCCTCACAATTATAGAGAGAGACCTATCTCCTAGAACTGGAAGGGACCCTGAAAGGTCATTGAGTCCAGCCCCCTGCCTTCACTAGCAGGACCAAGTACTGATTTTGCCCCAAATTGCTAAGTGGCCCCCCTCAAGTATTGAACTCACAACCCGGGGTTTAGCAGGCCAATGCTCAAACCACTGAGCTATCCCTCCCCCTGAAAGAGATTATATGAAAGATAAGAGAAACAGTTACACGTGGTGTGGTCTGAAATAGCACAGCTCCTAGCCCTACAAACTAAAGCCCTGATTCAGTAACGTACTTAAGTACATGCATAACTTTGGGACTATCCACGTGCTTAAAGTTACTCACATGCTTATGTATCATGCTGAATCAGGGCCTGACTGACTACCTGCTGACTTTGGTGTATTGATCTGAGACAAAGGAAATCAAAGAAAAGAGAACTTGTAATTGCATAAAAATACAAGCTGAGTGAGAAAAGACAAATAGCCTGACCATGCAAGGTATGGGAGGGGAGAGGAAAGGAAACAGAGTGAAAGTATCCTAAGGCAGAGCAGTGCTAGTGTACTCCCCGACACAGCCCAAAGCCAACGCCCAGGCAGGCAAGCCATACAAATACCAAGTACAAACAAAATTATAATGGAAACTCAGTTGCAACCGGAGTGATTGCCATCATTCCAGAATAGCTATATTACATAGGGGGAATATTTGTGTTTTGTTTGGTTTTTTTACAAGTGCACTTACGTACACACCCCAGTACAGCAGCTAGCCATTTATTTAAGCTCCTTGAACTCACTCCACCATCCCCTACACATCTCCAATTATTTTCATGGAAAATTGAGTTTTTGACTAAATGATTTTTGAGGGTAAAAAAGTATGTGCTGCTTTCCAGGGAAAACTGACTTTTCACTGCTTCCCCCCCCCGAAAAAAAAAGTTTCAGGCAAAATTTTCAGTTTTTAGGCCAAAAACTTTTCAGATTTACAGTTTGTCAACAACAATCATAATTTTGTGCAAAAGAGAAACATTTTCCAAACACCTCCTATTGTTAACATAGAGGCCACTATTGGTTAGACTATTAATAACAAAACAGTCTTACTCTTTGTAAATACAGTACTATAGTTTTACTTTTAAATTAACTCCCTTTCTTGACAAGTTTCAGTAGGCTCTTGTGGGTAATCAAATTTGTGCATCTAAGCTGATGTAACAGAAAATGGCACTGACCAGCCTGATTTTGATATCTGATTGTAGTTAGAGGAGAGACAAGGGGGTGAGGTAATATCTTTTATTGGACCAACTTCCGTTGGTGAGAAAGACAAGCTTTCGAGCTTACACCAAGCTCTTCTTCAGGTCAGTAGTTAGGGGAAACAGTTCTATGGTATTTAGATCATATGGCCTGTTCTGTTTATAAAATGGCTTAGGACACTGACACAGAAATCCCAACCAACTCATAATCCTTCCAGCCTTACACAGCACCTTCCATACAGAAACACATCTTCACTAGAGTTACACAGCAGGATTATTCCCCCCACCCCCTCCCCCTTTTGCCCTGACACAGAGCTATTGAAATTCACCAAGCAGCAATCCAACTGCTCTGTCAGATCTGATTAAGATGGTGACATGTTGTCCTCACTGTCACCAGCTCTGGAGACAATAGAATGTAGATGTACTTAAAAGAAATAGTGTTATAGACATTTTCATGTACCGCCAGTGCCAATAATTAAACATGTAATTTTCAGAAACTGCAAGCCTCTTGGGGAAGGGGATTATTGCAGTAGCTCTCCCCATTCAGTCTGTCCTGTCCCTGACTCTAATTCTCAGTCATACATACACTAGCCGGCCTTTGCTGGAAATGATTAAACTGTTCAAATAGCGGTACATATTATGAATGAATTACTGCTGGTAGAAAATGGATTATGTCACAGTTTTAATTGTTTTTCCAATAGATTGAACAAACTAGAATTAAACAGGTGTGTGTTTTCCTACACCATATATTCTTTCAATTTCCTCCAGCCTCTCTTCCAATCCAAACAGAAATTCTCAGTAGGAATTTCCCATTGCTAAAACTACCAAAATGCTCACAGATTTTTATCCTTCCAGTGTCTAAAAAAAAATAAATCAAAATTTCTTATTAGCACTACCTCAAGACAATAAAATGAAGATTTTCCATCCAGCGTAACAGTCTGACAACAGAGAGAAACTATTAATCAACATTAGTGAATCTAGAGAAGATATATGCAAACACTAGTAACAATGACCTTGGGGAGTGCTGTATTAATGTAGATGGAATAAATGGGCCCGAAGTGTCAAAGGTATTAACAAGACCCTGTTACTGTCCAACAACAAACAGTGTTAAACAAAGTTCGAGTTTGGTATACAGAGATCTCAGCCTGCTTAATACCATGGCAAACATCATTAAAAATCTTCTTAACCTTTTATTAAAGGCACAGAAAAAAAGGAAAACAGTTAAAGCCCTTGAAATGTAAAGTATTAAGTAAGGGTTTTATTTTAACAACATCCTTTGTTTCCTTCCCCTCAGGATGCAGGGAGATTTTAGAAAGAAACGCCCAGTATGATAGTCTCTTAGACGGTAATAACTATTTTCTTTGGCAGGAGGCAGGGCTGGCGCTTCCATTTAGGCGACCTAGGTGGTCGCCTAGGGCACCAGGATTGGGGGGGGGGCGGCATTTTGCCACCCTCGGCAGCAATTCGGCAGTAGGGGGTCCTTCTGCGCTCCAGGTCTTCGGCGGCAATTCTGCGGCGGTTCCTTCACTCGCTCCGGGACCTGCCGCCGAAGTGCCCCGAAGACCTGGAGCGCGGAAGGACCCCCTCCCCCCCCGCCGCAGAATTGACGACGATGACCAGGAGCACGGAAGGACCCCCGCCTAGGGCGCCAAAAACCCTGGCGCCACTCCTGGCAGGAGGGACAGTTAGTTGACATTGGCTGGAGCTGTTGTAAGTGCTGTTGTTAGTGCTGTTGTTGTTGTTGTTGTTCCCACTTCCCAGAAGACAAATCAAGCCAAACACACAAGGGGTTGAGAAAAGAACAACAAAGACAGAAAATGCAGCTTTTGTCTCCGATGTTGAATTTTGCTTGCAAACTTACTGCTGAAAACCCAGGCCAAGCACATAGTCTTATTAGCCACTTTGAAATCTGGCAAACTTGTACCAGCATTAGCAGTTCAGAGCACTGGATTTAGAAGTTTTTCCAGTCACAGGCTTATAGCAGTGTTGCAAAACATACAGTCTTGGCCATCTGAGCCTGACTCTTATTAGACAGAAGGCAAAAGGAGAGGGATAGGAAAGAAAAGAAACAAGGTGGGGAAGGAAAAGGCTACACTTGGGGAGAGGTGTGACATCCCAGGTGGTGTTTGGGATTTAGCTGCAGCTGGTGGCGGTGGTGATGTCATCTGGGTCCCTCTCTCTGGTCCAGTCTGGACCTCTCTCAGGATCAAGACAAAGAAGGTCCAGGTGCCCAGGAGACAGTTGGTGTGACAGCCATGATGGTGAAGCTTGCTCTTCCTCTTCTTTCAATCAGCCAGCGTATCAGTAACCTCCTTCCATATTTGCCCCCCAACATTTCTTTTTTTTTAAGAACCCCAAAAGAGAGTGAGGATGGCTTGGCCCATTCCCGTTATTTTGTCCACCAATTAGGCCTAATTTTCAACATACCAATGTTGATTCATTGATTTTCAGTCTCACACCAGGCACAACGTTAACACAGTCCTTGAGTTATATTAGCAGGTCTTTTTGTTTGGACTAATTTAGTTGGGCCTGGCCTGGGACTCAGGTAACCTGGATTCTATCTGTTCTCTCTCACTGACCCGCTGTGTGACCTTCCTCTCTCTCTGCTTCTCTTTTTCTTCCCACCCTTTGTCTGTCTTGACTAGTTAGATTTAAAACTCTTTGGGGCAGGGGACTGGCTCTGTATTTGTACAGCACCTAGCGCAGTGGTGCCCTGATCTTGGATGAGGCTTCTAGAGGCTGCTGTAATACAAATTACTAATAGTGCAGTCAGATCATGTCTGTTCACTACAGTCTATGTCACTGAGGTAATGTTGAGGATTCCTCCCTGCCCCTGACAATACTTCACCTATTTCCACCCTTCAGAGACCATTCCTCATTGCAAACTGTACTATAATCCACTTGATGTGAGAACTCATTAAAGCCTCATAACAGCTGTCACAAGGGACTGACTCACAGGGCTGGGTTTTTCTTGTCGCTGTTGTATTTGGAAAGGGTTTTTTTAAATTATGAATGGAGTAAAAAGATGCACAGTACAAACAGGCATGTTGTGTCTCCAGACAGCATAGAGGTGCATACTATATTGACATACCTTACAACCTCACACAGTGTTGTGCAACTTCATGGTACTCCACCAGAATTGTGTGCAGCTGGCTGATAAATTGCTGTGGCCATATGTTTAAAAAAAAAACTGGGGCACATCTCTATTACTCTCATCCTCCCGCCCTTTCATTTTTATCTCTTCGTGTTTCTGCTACGATGGTCTCTCATCCCCCACCTGCTAGCAGATATCTTTTCTATCCTGTTACTTTGTAGGATTCTCTCCTTTGAACCATATGAAAGTCCTACATTTTCGTTCCTTTCCTTCTGCCTCTGTCCTCCTGGATTTTCTTTACTTCTTTCTTTGTTTTTGTCATCTTTTCTGCTGATCCTCCGTTTTTTTCTCTCTCCCTCCAACCTAGCACTGGCCAATAAAGGCTTTAATAGTCGCCTGTATTTGTTCCCTTTCTCTTCCCCTCAAATCAAGCCTTCTTTCTCCTTTCTCCTTGTAGATTTCTTCTCCTCTCTTAGCTTTGGAAATAGTTAAAAATATTCTAGCCTCTTGAGAGTTGTGTGAAGCTTTATGACACTATCACACTTAGTCATCAACAGGCCCTATAGCAACTATTGTAAAGGGGTCACCATCCGGCCTCAATTACAGTAAGCAAGTGTAATTAAATAGTCAAACACAATTAGCGTACAAATTACTCTCCTAAATGTGGACCATCTAGTCTCCTTGCTGCTAATTACAAAGCCGTTCATTGAGCTAAAAGCCTACATCTTTGAAAAAATGTACAATAAACTCTTCTCTCGCACTATGTAATCATTATTTTAATAGGATGCATTATACGGGATATTTTTAACCCAAGCCCTAAAACATGAGCTTCTTATATCTTCAGAATGATTTCAACAATCTCTAATTTTATTTTATTTTTTTATGATTTGTACAAAAGCATCTATCCTAGGCCCTAGGTGTTTTGTCAACATTAAAAAAAAAATCAAACTTTGATTCCTTGAATGCTAGTATTGTTTAAGAAAAACATGGAAGAAGAAAGCTTAAATACATATACTTTTGTCGCTGGGCTATGCATCACTGTATTATTTTTATATTCTAGCTGTTAGTTATATTAGGATTGAAATGGAGTACAGAAAAATGTCTCAAGTTAATGTGAATTTACTTAGGTGCTTATTGACATCGTACACTGACAATACACCTCAACAGAGTGAATAAGCTCAGCGTTCAACCTAAACCTGGAAGTTCATGAGTTTGGGGGAACTGGAGCCAGATTCCTTAATCTATGTTGTTATTTGTAGCAGTGGTTATACCAGTCCAGTCTCCCACTCCGCCTTTGGCCCCTCCCCAAATGCCATTGCAGTTGACATGACCTCAATCTACACCCAGCTCTCAGACAGTCAGGCTCCACATGATACAGAGGACAGGAAAACCCTGCATGGGTGCTGGAAATCCTGTGATTTTTACTACCGGGAGGAAGCAAAAATCACATCAGCTCCATTGCATTTAGGGCCCTCTACAGTTGCAGAGGTTGGGGCAGGGTTCTCCCCTATATACATGCATATGTCTGTTTGGGGCCATTATAACTGCTCCTCTTTCACATGTAGAACGCTCCTTGGTGGGAAGGGGGATTCTTTATGTGGATCATGGGTTGTGTAGGGCCCTTGGAGTCTTCTTAAAACTAGGTGTTAGATAAATGATCAAAGCAGATTAAAATCTACAGGTAAGTCTTCTTAGGTACAAACTTTGAAAAGATGGTCTATGAATAGGCAAACTAGAGTTGCTAAATGTCAGTGAACATTTAATAGTATCCTTGCTACTACAGTCATAACACTTTTTACTATGGTTCTGTTTTCTGTCACAAACCAACAGACCACAATTTTGTAATCTGATCAATGTGGGCAGATCCTTAAACCCACACAGAGACTCATTAAAGTCACTGGAGCGCCCCATGGGTGCAGGGGTCTTCTCTCACAAATCAGAGTAAAAAATCAGGCCTACAAAGAGTCAGACTGATTATTCAGCTCTTAGATAGAGACCTACAGGAAACACCTAGGTTCTATAAAAAGTGTTTCTTGTATAGCTCATGCAATATCTACTTGAGCTGGAAAAGAAAACTAAAATGTTGCATGACACTAATCCATAAAACAAGCAAGTTATTTTGTGTGTTACAGGAGTACAAAAGAAATCTCAAAAAAATCTGACAAACAGTAATGAAACTGACTTGTGAAAA